AAAAAAAAAAAAAAAAAAATCAGCCCACATGAATACCACGATGAATGTAATTTTGTTGATTAATTCCTAATTAATTTTCAGAAAATCGCGGTAACTGATCGTGATCGACTTCAATTTGCCAGTGGAATGAAAGTGATCAAAAATTCTACGGAAACGGGGGACGAGTATTTGCTAATTATGACGAATAAATATCATAAATACGTTGATAACACGATAAACATCAATGAGTACAATTATCACGTTTTGTCGGCTTCTGTTAAAGATCTTGTTAAAACAGCAGGTTGCGATAAGTGATTCTCATAATTTTTAGTAAATACGTTTGCCACAGCATATACTGCAAACGAAAAATGATATTAAAAAACATAGTGATTTTAATTTATAAAAAAAAACACTTTTTAATCCATCAGTAAGTGGTAAACTTGTTAAAGGCTTTCCAATTTTATAAATAAATTTAGATAAAGATAGTCTAATGATATAAATGTTTTAACTTACAGCGTTTACGTTTTTTTATAAAACAAATAGTAACAATGCAGTAACACTTATCATGAAGTTTTTTTTTTCAATATCTTTTCGCACTTCCCTTAAGTATTTTTTACATGGGTTAGATCCATGAAATTTGAGAGACATTTGTTTTTGTGCATAGTAAGTAAGTTATATTATATCCTTTGTTGGAAAATACTAAGATTTCATGAAAAAAGATTTTTTTAGATTAAGATACAAAACTATGTTAACTTTTTTTTATAGCCATTCATTTTGATGAATTGTGTGTATAACAGCTTTACATTGCTACATTATATTGCATATAATATAGATACTATCTTCACTGGAAAAACGAAAAACCGTTTCAGATCTAAGTATTGTAAATAAATGAATAACTTACACAGCATTGGGGATATCTTATTTTACATGGCTTCCAAGCTGTCGATTTATGCTTGGAAAACACATATGAGAAATTAGATAATAGTTTAGGTGCAAACCAAGTGAGTAAAGGTCGAGTCGAAAACTCATGTTATACGATTATCAGTTTACGGTTGGTTTTAAATAAAAAAACCGAGTGCCAAAATACGAGATGTATAAAAGAAATTTTAAGGGATACAAAAGATCTGTACGAAATTATATATTATTCAATAAAACATCAAATAAAAAGAATAATTAAATTTAATCTACTAGATTAATTCAAGGATGTGAACGGAAATAAAAAAATGTGTTTCTTCTTCTTCTGAGAGTTTTAGAATTATAGGCATTAGTATACGAGATAAGAAGTTCGTGATAAGAAGAAACAAAATTGCACAAGCCATCGATGTATCAATGTACGTCTTTCACAAAAGATGTGTCAGTTCTGACACGAATTTACACAAACTGTTTATTGATAAAACAATTAAATGTGTATACTTTTTAAAAGAATAACACAGTAAATACAAACAAATGAGAATTTTAGAAAAATGCTTTAATTTCAAATTGAATTGTAAATACGTTTTAATTGAAAAAAAAATCTGTTTTACATGATCGCAACGCATTTATGCAATAAACTACTTATTTTTTCCGGGATTAAATTTAAATGTTTGCAATGGAACCTTGAAATGGAATGCAAATTGGAAAATCCATCCTGAGTATAAATTTCGTTAACACTGACTCATCGTGCTCGTGCTACGAGTTGATAGCCCACTTGCAGAATACGCAATACAAATATTTGTATGAAATTTTTTCAAGGTAAGGATAAATCGAACTTATCAGTTTCAAGAAATTTATTTAAGACGTTGCAGAAGGAAGCAGTCGGAAAAAAAAGTATAGAGCGTACGGCCAGGAATGACAAAAGGTTTGAAAATGTTGGTTGTGTTGTGGCTGTTTGTTTTAACTTGTCTTGTAAATTTGGAAACTACGTCGTCACTATCAACGGAGTTCAAGTGGAAGTATTTCGATTATGTTTGGAAATCACCGGAACAGGAGAAATGGTACAAGGTGAACAAACATTACATTCCTCGAGATTTTACTCCTATTGATGTCGATCGATCATCAGGTGAATTAATATTTAATACTATTCATTTCAATTGCCGATTAAGAAAGCAAGTAAAAAAAAAAAAAAAAAAAAAAAAAACTGCTTGTAAACTTTCAGACGGACGTACATTTGTAACCATAATTAGGACGGTTGGAGTACCCGCTACTTTGCATACTGTGTCGAAAAATTATAGCTCTTCGGGACCCCTTTTGGAACCTTATCCCGACTGGACTTGGTACAACCCCATTGATCCTTGCAATGGTCTGATTAACGTTTATAGAGTAGCTGTTAGTGATTTCTTACAAACTGTCTTAACATAATATCATAATAAATTTTTACGTCATTCACTAATATCCTGATGATACATCATAGATCGACAATTGCAATAGAATGTGGGTACTCGACGTAGGCTCGATAGATTTTCAACAGATTTGCCCCGTTAGATTACTGGTGTTCAATCTCCACACGAATAAATTGATTTTCTGGCAAGCGCTTAAAAATAATGTTGCTTACAGTTCAAAGACACGGAGCCTACTGATTACTCCTATTGTCGATACCGAAGGCCTTCAATGTGAAGATACGACTGTAAGTGCTCGGTGAGCCAAAACAATCGCATTTTTTCCAATTGGAAGCACTTTTTTGTTTTGTACGAATGTTTTTTTCAGGTGTACATAGCTGACGTACTCGGGCATGCATTGATAGTATGGCGAAATTTCGAGGCGGTACGCTTGGAAAATGAAGAAATGTTTGGACCCCAATCAGCACACACGGCATTCAATATAGATAATGTGAATTTCACCCTACAAGATGGACTTTTTGGAATGTCGCTGTCACCAAAAATATCCAACGATCTTCGTTATCTTGTATTCCGACCTTTGGCTTCGTTATCCGTACACGCCGTTACCACAGAACAGTTAAAAAATTCTGTTAAGGGGGGCAAAGTCGATTACATTACGGGGAAAGATGTGTTACCTAGCCAAGCTTCAACAATGGCATTTGCGTCGGATGGTACTCTATTTTACGGCCTTACCAAGCACATCGCTATTGGCTGTTGGAACATCAAATTTCCCATGCTTGCAGAGTATTTTGTAATATAAATCAATTTTTTACATAAAAAAAAA